GCAAATTATGCGGTGTCAGTTCTTTTGAAATTTCAAAAGAACTCCCTTTAAAGGGTGCCATAGCAATGTCTAGCAGAGGAAAATGCGTGGATTGCAACAGCTTGCTAGGAAAACAAAAATGTTGGAATTTGCATGGCATTACACAATAATTGGAAAACCCAAAGGATATTGTTATGTGATAGTGGATGCGAGGCTTGGGATGAAGTTACTTGTCATTCAGATTAAACACGGTTATAGAAATGGAGACATCAAATGGGAAGAAATGACATCAAAATGTCTTGGATGACAATTACACTGACGATAGTTAACGTATGTAGATGTCATTCGTACGTCATGTTGTGACCAATTTACTCAAAATTCCTACCGAGTGAATAATAAACACGATCTATCAGCCCTTGATGGGGCTAATTGGGTAAATATGAAAGGAGGTCATTGCATCTGAGATTTTGCCTTTGCATAATGTACCATAGGCATGCCGCACCTATCATGGGCACCTGCCTTGGAAACATCTTGTAACAGGTGCAAAAAACGCCCTTTGAATAATACAGCACATGCCGTACCACCTCCCCAATTGATGCAAAGTTATTCCATTCGCACCCAAGCTTGTTATTTGCACCGTAAAACCTGATGCATTTACGTTTATATGCATGAAAATAGGCTTTACGTCTTACGTCTTCACGTGTAAACAGGCGCAAAACATAAATACAACGTAAATACCCACTCCTGTAAATAAAAACAGTACACACAGATTTACAGAGTAAGGGAGTGGCAGCCAGACGCACTGGAGTGCGAACAAAACGAACTTGTGCTCTCAACGGCGTCGTTGCCCTTGCCGAGAGCGAGGTGGACGTTATGTTCTCTATGCTCGAGCGGGTGGAGGACTGATAATTGTACACGACTTTTGTCGTGTGACCTGTTGTCTGTCAGGACGTAGACACAGCCGCAAAAATAGCCCCTTTTGCAAATTTATGTTTTCTCGTGAAAAAGCGTGAACGTAAATAACAGGCCTGATCGTACCACTGCACACATTCCCAAAATTCTGTAGCCGTACCACTGCTACACACACTGGGCCCAGACACAGGTATGTTGTTGTTGGCACAAATGAGTCGTGCCAGGTACGATCGTCCAATTCCATATCACACATTCCTCTGCTCGTCGGAGCGAGCACTCCCTCCCTGCTATTCTGCATTGGTGGTTGGGCACAGCTATGTGCAGGAGTCGTCGTGGTAGATTGTTTGGCTTGAAAGCACGTGGCAATACGGTTACTTGCAAAGCAGTTCTGCCCACTGCATGTGGGATGGGATGTACACAGTCCCGGGACGGTTGACAACCTGTGCGCCTGCTGGATTCCACAACCGCACAGCCAGCCACCAATTATCTGCCAGCGCCAGAAATCGCAACCTGTAGTCCATCATAAACACCGTATTTATCCGGTATTAGTAGGCGTGCATTGGGCCCCCAAAATGAGGGGTGGATAGTAATAGTGGGTCATGGATACTAACGCAGTTTAGACCCCTGATCCAAGAGTAGACATAGAATTTTTTTGGAACATAGATCGTGAAATGGCCCCAAAATAGGCTTGAAATAACGTAAGATGCAGTGCATAGGTAGCAACATCGCCAATTCCAAGTTGCAATTCAGACACCACATGACAACACCATGTTATTAGCGACAATGCTATTACTGAAAGATGTCAGCCTCTTCACGGGAGCCAGAGTCTGAACTTGGGGCTCCACCAGGTGGGAGTGACTGGCGATTGGGGCTAGTAGGTGTACCTTGGACTGCTCGAGGCGTGTTTGCCTCCGTGATGCGAAGAACGAGGGCAGACATGGCCCACAAAAGGCTGCAAAGGCAGGGCTCGTCCCCAATTGCACAGCTGCCAGGCCGCAAACCCATGGGTTGTGTGATTGGCCAATCACAGATACCATCAGCTATCCAAGCCGGCATCAGCCCGACAAAGCGCCGGGGGCCAAATCCATCGTCGCGGCGCGCCGCCCCCGGTCTGTCTAAGCCAGTTTGTGAGGTGCTGTTTCGCAACGGCGGCCGCCCAGACCAGCGCCGTCGCTTGCACGTTCTTGGCGCTGGGACTTGGGGCGCCCTTAGTTGGCGTCACCAGAACCCGCTCTGGCCGGCCGGGAATCAGGTTGACTCAATGTAGAAACCAGGGCGGCTTTGGTTTCTCGATCGCTTGTTTGATCGGGCCTACTGGCCTCGGTCGTCGCCCAGCGATCCTGTGCTAATAGCCCCAACTGCAGCCAGTCAACCCCATGGCCTTTTGCAGGCCTCCTGTCGAATTCTCCCTCATCGGCATCCACGCCAACCTGATCGTCATCGTCGACGCGCGAATTACTGGGAACGTGGTTTGGCCCAGACTGGGCAACGCGGCGCAACACCAGCCACCGACAACCCTTGCCACTGTCCGCGCGTTCCCTCGTTTCTGTTTCGCTGAGGTTTGGGGGTAGGTACTGGCACCGGGTCATGGATGCTAACTTGGTTTCAACCCCCAAAGAAAGGGGTGGATACCAATATCGGTATTAATACCGGGTAAATACGGTATCTATCGTTCTGGGAATGTGGCCAGTTAGAATCACATTCATTGACTGCACAGGACAGCTGCGCCAGCTCTAACCTTACCTCCCCATTCATCCAACTACTATAAGTATTCCGCTCATCACACCCCCAAAGTCTGCTCAACGCGACTCAGAACCAGAGTGCGTTTCCTTTGTTGTATTTGCAGCGGCGGCTTATCCAGGCCATCGTACGTAGGATCCTGCGTGTACGCAATGCCCAGCATCGTCCACTGTTGTGCGCCACTCGTGGGAAGAGCGGACTGTGGTAGTCCTTTATCGAAAACGCGGCGCCATTGCCAGGCGCCACAAACACACCGTCAAGATGGCACGTGATAATGAGATTTGTTTTGTTTAGTGGTTGGTCAAGTGCGTGATATGTCGATGTGTCGTTGGATACTTGGTGCTGGATTGTGAAAGACTGTCTCGACAGCCCCCCTCGACGCCCGCACCACGCACCGTCGCTTGCGCAGCACCCGGGCTCCACACCACGCCCCCCGCCTTCACCGCGCGCACGACCCGACGAAGCGAGCGATGCAGCGAGCAGCGGAGCTGGCGGGCTGCTCGCCGTGGCTGCCAGCGGCGCTGGCCCCGTCCGGCCGCGTCCACGTGGCGCGCCGGTGCCTGCACGCACCGCCGTCCCGGGGTCCTGCGCGAATCGTTGCGACGGCGACCACCACGGGGACTGGGAGCGAGGTGTCAGAGGAGAAGCGCGACATCCAGAAGATGTTGAGCAAGCCGTACAAGTGGGGCTTCAAGACGGCCATTGAGTCGGAGACGTTTCCCAAGGGCCTGTCTGAGGACGTTGTGAGGGCGATCTCCGCGAAGAAGAAGGAGCCGGAATGGATGCTGGAGTTCCGCCTACGGGGGTACAAGAGCTGGCTGACAATGAAGGAGCCCGCCTGGTCGGACAACGCCTACCCGGCGTTCGACTATCAGGGGATCAGCTACTATTCGGAGCCCAAGCAGAAAGAGAAGAAGCAGAGCTTGGATGAGGTGGACCCCGAGCTGCTGGCGACGTTCGACAAGCTGGGGATCCCGCTGAACGAGCAGAAACGACTGGCGAACGTCGCTGTGGACGCCGTGTTCGACTCGGTGTCCATCGCGACCACGTTCCGCGAGGAGTTGTCGAAACACGGCGTGGTTTTCTGCAGCATCTCGGAGGCGGTGCAGGACTACCCGGAGTTGGTCAGGAAGCACCTTGGGAGCGTGGTGAGCAATGGAACCCTGGGGCCCACCTGGGACAGGGGGCGGGGCTGTCAGTAACTCCATCCCAGCATTCCTTTTATATTTGACCTACTTCCGTCGTGTTCTATGTTTCGGAACGAGTCTGGCAGGGATATGCATCAAAACCCCCAAAGTTCAGAAAGCTGCAACCGTTATGTGTCTTGCATCGAATGGTGCAAAAGACCCATTGGTCACGGCCTGCAGCATGCAAGGTCCCTTCTATGTCTCATCGACGCAAATTGTGTATTGTGTATTGCATTGTACGATTACCCCTGCTACCACAGAGCCAGTGTCAACCACCCAGTGTGCAAAATACCCATTGGTCACGGCCTGCAGCATGCAAGGTCCCTTCTATGTATCATCGAGGCAAATTGTGTAATGTGTATTGCATTGTACGATTATCCCTGCCACCACAGAGCCAGCGTCAACCATCCAGTCGAGACAAATGTTACCCAGGATGCAATGATGCCATGAGTGGTCAAACTTTGGCAGGTCTAAAAGCATGTGATTTTCAGCCGCCGTGCAAGAAGGATTATCCAGTCCATTCAGAGCTGCTGTAGATGGCTGCCAGATCGACAGTGGGGCATGTCATCAAGTAAAGGGTGAACCACTGTTTGTGGATACGGTTGAACAAGGTCAGGTTTGCCCTGCGGTCTCGAGTGAAGTGCGATGTGAAGGGTCCCTTTAGGCACCCATGCAATTGGCTTGAGGTGCTGTGGTTAACCCTTCATTGCTTTAAACGTGAGTGGGAGTGCTTGCTGACAAATGCAAAAGAAGTGATTGTGTTTTGTGCTGTTATGCAGGTTCCTGTCGCAGACAACTACTTTGCTGCCTCTTCCATACACTCAAACACATCCGGATTTCCTGTAGGATCAATGCAAGCGAAACAGGACAGGTATGGCAGGCAAGGCTGCAGTGAACGTCTGCTACTGCCACGTATGCATTTTCAGGGACGTTGTGGGCGGCTCAACTGGCTACATGCCTGCCTCAAGAAACTGGCCTATGGAGAATTACTTGCATTTCAAGGACAAAAGTGCTGCTCCTGCTCATTTGCCAGAAGTATTGGCTTTAAATGGACTCTTACATCCCAAGGCCTTTTTGCCCCTTAATGACCTTCTTGGACAGTATTCCTATTCTGTTCACTGAGTACACGCTGCCAACGCTCGTGGTGCTGCAACTTGGGAAACTACTGTCGCACTTTATAAGGTACCTGACATGTTTCTGTGTTTTCTACAAGTTTGAACGCACATTGATCATCGCCGAGGAAGGGAGCTATGTGAGCTATCTGGAGGGGTGCACAGCCCCAGCTTATGACCAGAATCAGGTGTGGGAAATGGTGTGGGAAAATGGTGGCATGATTGTGGAGCTCAGGGTTTTGCTGCACACTGGCTATCGACGCGAATGGGGAAGCTGATGGCACAGCAATTGTGGGGTCTGGCAACACTGCATGCAAGAGGGTTTGATGCCACTCAGATGCAGGCTTCGCTGGTTGTCCACTGCAAGATTGTGCAATTTGAACCATCGTTTTTGCATCCCTTGTTGATCTTTCCAGTTTGTTTGATTGAGTGTACATTTGACTAAATTGTGATGTGCTGAAACGCATAAGTTCATAGTTGTTGGCAAGTGGGCTACTCAGTGCTAATCAGCTGCTTTGCTTGCTGTGTTGTTCTACAGCTCCATGCGGCTGTCGTTGAGCTCACTACTGCCAAAGATAAGCGATTAACACTCCGTATGAACTGCCATTCCGGTGATTAAAGAGGGGGCTTTGCCATGGTGACGATTCCAAGATTTCTTGGACACAGGTCAGCATGAAGCTGTCTGTTGCTGTGCTGCAGTAGATGATCTGCCTTCCCAAAGGTGCAGTTCTTTAGGAACCAAATCTGCTGCTGGCCAAACACAAGTGCTAAATCGTCGAGTAACAGAGCAGTGGCACACTGTCCGTGAACTCAGCTATTGGGTGGGGTCGGGGATCGTCCAACCAGCCCTGCAGCTGCAAAATCAGCACTCGCATCTTAAAATATGCCTGCCTCTGTAGAGACTGTGACCAAGTGGACGCAAGGGAGACATCCAATTTGTGCATGCATGCAGGTGGAAACTGGATCCGCCATCACCTGGAAGTATCCGAGCTGCGTGTTGAAGGGTGACAACTCTGTTGGGGAATTTTACTCTGTTGCTCTTACAAATAATGCTCAGCAAGCGGACACTGGGACAAAGATGGTGCACGTTGGGAAGAACACCCGCAGCAGGATCGTGTCGAAGGGCATCTCTGCTGGGCAGTCGTTGAATGCATACAGGGGGTTGGTTCAGGTCCAACCCAGTGCAAAGAATGCTCGGAACTATTCGCAGTGCGACTCGATGTTGATTGGGGACACTGCTGGTGCCAATACATATCCATACATCCAGGTGATGGTGTGAAAGAGCTAGAGAATTCACTGATGTCCCTGTGCTAGGGAAACTCCACTTTACTGGCCACTTGTAAATGGTATGGATTGATGTTTTGTAGATTATCATGTCGAAGTGGTAGTTGACCATGTCCATTCTTTTCGATTCAATTTGTAATCCTCTGCAGAATTACCTGTTGACTGACGTTAATCTTTTCTGTTGTCAACACTGTTAATATCCCCATTTTGTTGTTTGCAGTCCAACGCACTTCTTTGCCTTTAGTTGTCCTGCATTGCTGAAAGGGCGATGCTGCCTAGCAGGTCACTGGGTGAATATGCAAGCCCATGCTCGCAGCAGTTTGTCAGCAACATCTGCTGGCTGTTGTGTTGCACCAGCAAAGTCACCATGTCCTTGTAGAAAGGCTTCCTTTAGTGCGACTCCAGAACCTGGTTTGAACAGTGGCACTTGTGGTCAGTATGGGAGCCTTTGATGGGGTCTGCCACTTGCTCAGCTGGCAGTTGCGTTGCAGCACTGCTTCTCCAATGTGCTGACCTCTCCATGACTTGACTTTGTTGTGTCAGGTCGTGTGCAATCAGGATTTCTTGTGACCAGCACAGATATACAGCACAGCATTCGCACCACCATAACTACTGGAAGGCAGATTCTGTTTGGGTTCCCTAGCAATGGGGTGTGTCATCAGTTGGTTGGATGCTGCTTCATATGTGAACACTTCAAGTGCAATGACTGTATTGCTGGCACACAGGTTCGTGAGCCATCAGCTCAAGTTGAGCACGAGGCCAGCACCTCCAAGATTGGTGAGGACCAGCTCTTCTACTTTCAGCAGCGTGGAATTGGCATGGAGGATGCAGTGGGCATGATCATCAGTGGGTTTTGCAAAGAGGTGTTCAACGAACTGCCATTGGAATTTGCTGCTGAAGTCAACCAGTTGATGAGCCTCAAGCTGGAAGGATCTGTGGGATAGATTGAAAATCTGCGTTGCTGTTTTTGCCAGAGCTAGTTGGACATATGTCCAGGGGGTAGGCCTGCTGTTGTGACTGTGTTGCTCTTGCATTGTTCATTGTTATACCTCTGGCTTGTGTTGAGGGGCTCTGCTTGTGCAGACTTGTGTACGTACGCATGCTGTCTCCAATTTCTTGGCAACTTCCAATCGAGTATCATGGAAGGTTGCTTGGAGCCATGGGAGAAAAAGTCGCTTTTCAGCGCATGCGGCAAGTTGCGGTGGGGATTGGGTGAGATTGAGACACATTGCATGCTGGTATTGGATGAATGCTGCCCACAGCTGAGAGCTGGTAGAACTCATTCGTTTGTTTCTGCCCTAGACATAGTATGGAGGAAGCCAAGAGCAGGAGCGGAGAATCTTGTCTGCATTGTAACTGTATTTTATGTTTTGTTGGTGTTAATGACATCGAATCATTACAAAGACAACGAATCAAACACTAAGGGATGGCGGGCTGAAAAGTAATATCCCGGAAGTGTTCACCAACTGAGTGGGCTGTACGCAATGCGCGTGGTGCTCGCAACACTCACAACCTGGATATCCGTTTCCTTACATACGAAGCAACGAGCTCAGCACTCTCGCTCTTCCTCCACAGCAGCGGCTACCACCGTTGCATCCAGGCCGAGTCTGGAAATGGTCCAGGCCGTACGTGCGCTTCGCAACCTCCACTGTGTCAGACAGTGGGATCGCCACCCTTTCGCCGCAGCCCAACTGCACAGCACAGTCGTCAAGCTAATCCACCTCCACAGTCCCCTTACGGGGAGAGGCAAGCAGGTGAACACACACGCAGTTTTTGCCTGCCCATTCTCCCCACCCGCCGGCATGTTCACGCATGGCGAAGACACCAGTGCGTTCCAACGCAATCAGTGTCCATCGCCATATTCGAACCAGGGCTGCCGCAACAATGCGAGCTCCGCTGGTGGTTCAGCCAGCACAAGACCATGACTGACCCTGAGCCAAGCTCAGGCCCGGTACTCAACTCCCTCACCATCCCATCTCGCAAAAGTGCAGAAAGAAAAAGAGCAAAAGGGGAAAGGAGGCGTCTCCAGACTTCCCAGCCTGAAAAAGCGTGCAATCCGCGTCCAGCCTCGTCAGCACAGCGCGGCATCGGTCGCCTTCCGAGGCGCGTTGCCCGCCAATCATCGGGGCGCATTGCGTCCAGGAACGGGCCGCACCCAGAAAAGCCCCGTCGCGCCCCCTCCCGTTCGCCATTCCCACCACCACCGGCCCCCCACTCCCCGTTGACGACACCCAACCGGCCGGGCGCCCTTTGGACCAGTCCACCGCGCCCACGGGAGGCGGCCATGTTCAAGAGCACCTTCCAGTCGGGCTTCCTGTCAATACTGTACAGCATAGGCAGCAAGCCGCTGCAAATATGGGACAAGAAAGGTGCGACAGCGACCGCCTTGGGCGGGCGGAAAGGGGGGCGGGGACCTCGTGCGTCGACCTGAGAGGCGGGGGAGACCGTCCACGGTGGTTGGAGCCAGTCGTTGCGCAACGGAACTGACCCGTCGGAAAATTTGGGCCCCCTGACGTCCGCGTCCACGCGGCGGGGAGGCATCGCCATTTCTGTAAGAAGCTGGGAAATATGCGGCCGGTTGATTCGAGTAGGGGAATGCGACGTGCCGATGGGAGGGGCCGTTGCGCCGTCGGCCGTTTGGGCTGGGTTTGGCAGGGCTTCTGGTTTCTGGTTGTTACTTTGCGCTCGGCCTTGCCGTCCCTTCGCCCGGGGGCGTCTGATGTGGACCGGGCTCGTGGCAGCGCAACGCCCCGCTCTAACTGCAACCCATGGCGGCGCGCCTGCTCTCGCCACAGCTGTGTCTGGGTTTTCTCTGTGCTGGGGCGGTTGAACAATGGGGGCGTTTGTCGCCGAAAAGCAGCAGCAGTGTCAAGTACTGGGAATGAGCAAGGCGTCCGCAGCCTGATGTTGGAGTCAAGGGCGAGAAAAGGGCGGAGAACAGCTGTCAACGGGGGCTGCATAGCACATCTTGCTGTTTCTGGTCGGCACCATACCGGGGAGCAAATCGTCCCAAACCCCTACAGGTTGCTGGGGAGGAGGCCACCTGCCTGCTGTTCAACTGGCATCCCTCCACTACTGTACAATGGAAACTGGTGCATGTCATCTATGCTGTGTTTGAGTCAAGGTGGCGGGCCTCTGTGCTCACCAGCTTGCAACATCAACCTGCCCGCTCCTTGGAACACATTGTGTTGGGAGTTGTGGGACCTGCATCTGCAGTTGCAAAATCCTCGACAGGCTTTTATCACTACAGCGCCCTTCACACTTGGTGGCGACTTCCCAAACAACATGACCATATCTTTTAAGTCTTGGGAGGCGAATGCAGTGGTTCATGCAGTGCTAAGGCCCTCCTGTAAGAATCTCTTGTTGTGACAGTGGCTGGCATGCCTTGTGGTGCATGTCAATGGACACTGAAGGCACGTTGGGTGGATTGCGCCACAAGCACTTCTGGTTCATTCAGCATGTTTCGATTTACACGAGGTGTATTGGCTTGCAGTTCAAAATGGTCACATCAAGAGGATCACCGATGAGGACATCCAGAGCTCAGTGCTGGAGATCATGAGCACAAATGTCAGCACAACATACATCACGTGCCCGGCAGACCCCACTCGGACACTTGGCATTAAGCTACCTTTCCTGGTTATGATCATCAAGAACCTCAAGAAATACTTCAGCTTCGAGGTACAGGTGCTCGATGATAAGAATGTGCGCAGGAGGTTCAGAGCATCAAATTATCAGGTAATGCAACACAATGGACTTTTGCTGGTTTCCTCCACTTGTTATGTGGTGCGAAAGCTCTTTTCCACACCATACAGCTCACTGTGCAATGGGTTTCTCCTCCCCACAAACAACTTCTGTTCTGCACAGTCAACCACGCGCGTGAAGCCCTTCATATGCACAATGCCAATGCGACTGGACGAGGGATGGAACCAGATCCAGTTCAACCTTTCGGATTTCACAAGGCGAGCATACGGTAAGTCTCGACACAAGGAATCCAGCTGTTGCATTGTAAACTGCAGCACCCATCTGGTCACTTGCCTTGCCACAGATCCGTTGCCCTGCGCGTCGGTAACCAGTATAGATGCAATCTTCTGCAGTCCTTGCCAACAACGTTGCACCGCACACAATCAAGTGTCCAGTGCAGTCCATAGTGAGAGCGTAAATATGTACAGTCCTTGGGGATATAATTGCATGCTGTACCATTGGGACTGATATGGGCCTGTGCTCCCTTCGGGTGCTGCTCAAGCGTCTGAGGCTGTGCTCTGTTCCACAGGAACAAATTACATCGAGACCCTTCGAGTCCAGATCCATGCGAACTGCCGCATTCGCCGCATTTACTTCTCAGATAGACTGTATTCTGAAGAGGAGCTGCCGCCCGAGTTCAAATTGTTCTTACCAATTCAAAAGTCATGAGGGGCAGCGGCCACTGGTGTACCCACCACGGCAGCGTGGCGCAGTCTGCGGATTTGAGCAGGCAAACTCCAAGGAGCCGATTCGACAGCAAACACAACTTTGGACAGCGGCGCTGGAAACATATACCAGATGTTTCTGGAACTATTGTGCTTTTGTACTCATTTGATGTCGACGATTTAATGCAACACAGTCACCACGTACAACTGACCCACAATTGCGCTGTAGGGGGGCGGGTGGTGGTGGTGGTTAAAAAACACCCATGTGAGATCCCCAACGCGATGGTATGTGGCCCAATGGCTGCGCACATGGAGTATTTTCGGCTAGCTATTCCCTTTGAAGACTTCCTGATGGGCACCACATATCATTTCATCTCCATTTCAGCAGAGGATATGCACATCAGCATATTTATCTGCTTGCCAACCACATGTGTTGGGAAAGAAGCCAAGGATTCCAGGCGTGCTGTCGAGCACAAACCGTAACCCACGTTGAAGGGCAGCATCTGGATTCGGTGACAGTATGCAAATTGCCAGAGCTTCCTATTTACAAACACCCATGTCCAAGACACCTATATGTTTGCGGCAATGACAATATTCGGATCCAACTAGCAAACCTGCTACATTGTGAGATGGAACCGCAAAATGCGTGGAGAGGCCATGCTTCGACTACTACCCATTATGTCCCTGTGCCTCCCTGAAGATCAATTTCGCCAGGCTCAGGGGCGAGGTCGCAGTTGTCGAATCTCCGTTCATCAAAGAAACCGGCACGCACCACGCGGCCTCCAAAGTACCTTCCCTGGAGGGCCACGACGGCCTTCGTGGATTCTTCTGGCCGCTCAAACTGCACAAAGATCCTGACGGCCTCATGGGGTGGAAACCCGGGCTCAGTCACCTCAAAGATGAGCACTTTCTCTACGACACCAAACCTCTGAAGCTCATGAGCAACCTCGTCCTCCAACTCGTTGTCCACTTCTCCAGGGCCAATCTGCCGCAACAAAGGACAAACATTACACACTTGCCTGAACCTGCAGACACCGAACAACAGGTGCATTGTATGTTGCATGGATGGCACAGACCCCTTTGCTTCAAGGACCAAGGGGCTGAAAAGCGGCTGTTTAGGATCATCGCCACAAACATCTGAATGCACATCCTTGGCACAGCATACTGGCAGAAAAACAGCAGCAGGGACCTGCCCTGGTAAAATTGACAGCACCATCCCAAACTTACCGGTTTCGTCACTACCTTACTGACCAATCGCACCGATTTGCGTGCACAATGGCTGAATTCGAAAGGGATTGATGTGTCAAATCTGTGCAATCTGGTATGGACACATTGCAGCCGAGTGGAAGCTTTTCAGAGCTCAGTCAGTGACAGCGTTCGAGCAAAGGAGGTGAACGAGGAATAGTCTATTACTCTGATTTCCGGCTTGCAGACATTTTCTCTTGCTTTCGTGGGGGAGTGTCGAGGGGTTCAGTGGCAGCTGTGGCCGCCATTGGAGGCGTGTTTTCGGTTACATAAGTGGGCCCCGATGTGGCCCTCGCACGCTGGATGGCACGCTACATTTATCGTTGCCATAATGTCATGTCGATGCATTCATGTAAGGAACAAACAAAACACAAACAATTGCTGAGATTGGCGGAGAATGCCACCCACTTTGCAAGAAATAGTTCAAATGCATGCACTTCCTTCTAGTCCCCAGCAACAGTGTTGTAGCACAATTGTTGCACTACAAATACGACTTTTGGCAACGAACTCCCCATACGGTGCAAGAAATAGTTCAAATGCATGCACTTTCTTCTAGTCCCCAGCAACAGTGTTGTAGCACAATTGTTGCACTACAAGTACGACTTTTGGCAACGAACTCCCCATACGGTACAAACAACAGGGGTGCTCATACATTTCCATCACGTGAAGGCTGGAACATGTTGCAGGAAGGCCATTCAGCAAGGCTGTTAGAGCATCAGTATAGTTATTGCAATATGACGACGAGGAGCACTGTGTGATCCCTTACCATATTCCTCAGCAGCACAACCTTGGTGGGTTGACCTTCAAATGCAGCCCCCTGTCATATTGGTACCACAAACATGCCATTTATGAGCACAGCAGACAGCAGCTGCAAAATCCAAATCCAGACTGACAACTTGTCCAAACGCACAATGGCAACACAGCACACAGGCACTTCTTGTATGCTTTTGGCAGGCAAAAAGACATGCAATATAAGTGCAAGGATTGAACTACAGAAAGAGACTCTTACTGCAACATCCACTGGCGAGGTAGAGATCAACAAAGGAAGCTATCCTGCACAACTAGCATGAACTCCCAGTGCAACGCCATGCACACATTCCCTCATACCAGCCGAGGCTTTTTCTCTGGGGGTGGCATATCTGCACTTTTCTTCTGCTCAGCATTCACAATCACCCCACTTCGCTTGTCAGTCTTTTGAGCAATGAGTGGCGTGGCCATTCCCTGTCTCATCTTCCCTAAGCCCTCCCCCTCCTTCCAACCCATCTTTTCCAGCATTCTCTGGGCAAGTGACATGCCCTTGTCCCTGTTGGAACCTTGGGCATTGGGATCATCGTGCCCGCTGGGTGAGGGCGAACGTGAGGACCCACGGCTTGTGCTGTGACCCCTGCCTGTATGCCACAGCCAACCCCTTCAAAACTAAGTACAATAGGCAACCACATCTCTTGTAATAGACACAAGTTTATCTTCGATTTCAACTTGCTTTATTTTCGTCAACCACTGCCTGTATGTGTTTGAGAAGACAAGCATATGAAACGAATAGACAAGGGACACAGAACAGCATTAACTACATTGGATGCATACAGCCCATCGTCCCCTGCAAGCTGCAAAGGCCCTGTTTTGTCTTTTAGCAAAGGAATTCATCCACTTCGTGTCACAACTTGGATGCTGGCAGAGATGTGCTACCCAACTACCCCAGCAGATATGGTGGATCTGGATGGCAGACTTATCCAACCAAATACAGCTTCCTACTTGTCCATGCATGGCTTTGTCAGGTGTCCAGCTGCTAAATATCCAGACTGGCAGGGTTTGATTGCAGAAAGATTGTTGATCTACGTCCCACATACAAATTGGGCACAAGGATTCCTTTTGCACGGTTTTAAATTGGTGGAGACAATTACTGTGGACTTGTTGATACGCCACAATAGCAGAAAACACCCTTTAAAGTTGCGAAGTTTCAATGCAATGCGGTAATTGTCTTCCATTGTTGAAGCAATCAAGTGAGGAGATCGTGCAACATGCGCAGCCACTGGCAGAGCAATTCATGGCGACTGCCGATCTGCTGTTCTCCTGGCCAAGCCCTGCCATTCAACAGCAAACCTGCAGTGCATGACTACAATAGCAATTCTGCAGGTTTTGACAGAGTCGAGCGCAGATTTCTCCAGCAAAGTGGCTTTCGCATTTCACAACAAGTGTGAAATTCAATTCACTGCACTATGCCATCCCCCTAAGTGCAAATTTTTCGTTGGGTAGCAGTTCATGGTATGTGTACTGTATGCCACAATGACCTCCATCCTTTCCTGCCCTGTTTACAAACATAAGCAACGCTCTGTAGCACAAAGTCCCACATACCATGCCGCCCCCTGTGCTCTCCTCGGTCATCTTCATCACTGGAAGCGCCCACTTCATGATGCCTGTCACGATGTCTATCTCCATGCATTACTCTTCCTCGTTCCCAGCCTCTGGTCCTGTCCCTATCCGAATCTCTTTCCCGGTGTCTATCTCTGTCCCTCTCTCTTTGCAGCTCTCGCTCCTGAAATTCAGAAGGCAAACACCGCCTCAATTGTGGGCACCCTCTTTCACAGCGCTGGGTACTGTACACTGCGGAGAGTTGTGCTCTCGAGCTGGGCATTGCCATTGCAACGCCCCATATGTGGCTGAGGGGAATGCAAGCAAGAAATACTGAGAAGTAACACATGTGTGGAAGGAGGTGTGCACACGTTGATGCTGAAATGGGATGCCCTATTGCCCCAATCCAGGCAAATCATTCACACAGCTTCACTGAGCCGGTTTAGAGTGGAAAAGACAGCGGAAGAAGTGCAACTGACACCACACGAGGAGCACTCTTCACGATATTCCCATCGTTATGTTCCATGCCAACCAATACACAACGAACCGCCAGACAAAAGCGCCGCTACACGCCCCATCCGCAGCGAGCGACTCGGCCCGCGCCGCGAACCGCCACCGGCCTGCATCTCCTTCTCGACCCGCAGCCGCTCCTGCCTGTCCGCCTCCATCTCCGTTTCCCGCTTCCTGCGCTCCTTCTCCTGCACCACGGCCTCGTACTCGTTCGGCCTCGCGGGGTCGTACTCGTCGACGACCTGGCCGAAAAGGCCAAAGAGACTCGACGGCGCATCACCGGGCTCCTCATCAGGGCCCCCGGGCGCTGGCGCACCCGCGCGGCTCTGCGGCCTGGGCGCGGGTGGCGGCGCGGGGGGTTTCTGCTTTCGGAGCACCGAGGGGGGTGGGGCGAGAGTGGTTCGGAATCCTCCGCCCCGCAGTCGGTTGGCCGACCAGGGGGTCGGGTCGGCCGACGACGACTGCCTGGCCTGTGGCAGGTCCCCGTACAGGCTCATGGGCCCCCGGCCGCGCACGACCCGGCGGAAGAGCGCGGCGCGAGGGGCTGGAGGGAGGTGTGGTGAGGCCAAAACACGCAGCCGCGGGGGCGCCCGGTGGGCCGCGACTTGAGCTGAAACAAAACCTAAAACAAACCTAAACAAAACAAAACAAAATTAAAAACCAAAAATACACAAAATAACTAAAACAACCTTCGAAACTAAGAAAACAAAAAGACCTAAAACGCAAAACGTGAAACCTGAAAAACCGCGAAACGAAAATCGTGAAACGAACCTGGGGCCAGCTACGGTCACCGACACCGCCATGTTTGCCCCAGCGGACAGTATCCGCCGTATTGGATGTGACACCTGAACTTGAGCCCAAAAGTCATGATCGGCCTGACATTTGGCAACTGACATTTTGACGACCATCTCGCAGTTCCTTGCAACGATGTCGTGATTTTTATTGTCGATTGATTGATTGAAGATTGCAAGGACGATTCATCGTGACCGTCCTCCGCGACTCACGGGCTCATTTCGCAATGGGGGTCCTTGGTTGCTTGGGGTTTGACACAGCCGTGTACGTCCTCGAGGCGTGCGAGGATCATTCAGGTTGTCCCTTGTCCCTTGTCACGTCACTCAACACTGCTTGTCTACTGGGATCAATCTTTCCAACAAGCGACACCCGTCTGGCGAGGTGCGGTGGCCCGCCTCGCGAGGACGGAACTCGACCAGGGCCAGGGGGGCCACAGCGAAAGCGCGTCGCCCCCATGCAAGGCCCAGCGCTTCTTCCGGGTGCAAGCGCTGAACGCCTGGCGCTCGGGGGGAGCGGTGGATCGAAGAAAACAATCGGCAGTGCCAGCCCCTGCCCGTGATCGACAGGGCTCACTCGCGGTGGAGCACTTCCCGAGAGGCCTGCCTGAGAGGTCTGTCAGGCGAGGCTTGTCCAGGTGTGTCTGCCCGGCGACAGGCCTTTACGAGGCGCGTGGTTCCGACTTGGATTCCGATTCTCTGTGCCGGGGATCGCGTGCCGGGACGCCGAAAAACAAGAGGGGCCGATCAAGCCCTCGGTCCTCCAGCCCTGTCGCCAAGCTTCTCAAGCGAGTGCAGGGAACGAGGCGTTCGGAACTCGCACTGGGTCCGTTCCTTGGAGTGGGACGCTTCTGAGCCCCCACAGCGCTCCAGGCTGACGCGAAGGACGCTCAAAGCGGTCATTGAACGTCAGCCAGTGGGGCAACACCGCGCATTGACAACGTCGCGCAGACGTCTATCGCTCGATGGACAGACAGATGCGGCACCATCCGAAAGGCACGGCGCTTGGCGCGTGGGGATGGGTTGGCTGCGGTGCGTGCCTTTCGGCTGTGCTCGGCCGAGCGACTGGGCCCACAGAGCCGCTGGCTTGAGAGGGCGCTGAGCCTGGACTCTCGTGTTGCCTGCCGGTCATCAGCGATTTTGATGGGTGCATGTTTGGCTTACGTCTTCCTTGAACCCAGGACCCCGGCATAAAATTACTGGCTGCACCAAATCGGTGACTGCTTGCACCAAGTCACGTGCACATCATGTCCAACTCCGTCAAAACTAACCTGACCTAAAACCTAAACCCTAAAACCTAAACCTACACCTGTCCTAACCCTAACCCTAACCCTGAACTCACCCCGAAACTAAACCTAACCCTAAAATTGAGGTTAGGACAAAGTGTGCACGTGACTTGGTGCAAGCAGTCACCGATTTGGTGCAGGCAGTAATATTATTTCCAGGACCCCATCGCATCCGGTGTGGCCTGTCATCCTGTGCTCAGAATGAGGCTCTCCTCTGGAAACAGAGCCCGATCTGCAGTTCAGTTCTTCTGCGCTTCTGCAGTTTGGCGTTTGCCGCAAAGACAAGATGGGTCCGCAAGCATCTTTAGTCTGTGGCGACCCCACACTGCCAGTAACTGAGACCCCAGCGTCTTGTGGTGGCCCGAACAATTCGTCCTATGTGTGCGATTTGTGGAAAGCTGTCGGTACTCGCGTAGCAAAGGTATGCGGACGATCTCAGCAAAGTGCAGAATGCTAGATTGAAACCAGGGTCACGAAAACGTTAACCCCAAGATTGTTAGATTCACAAGCTGCGATGAAGAGCTACCGCGATTACTCACACTCAACCACAGCGTCAGTGTTTTCTTCCAAGCTCTGAGAAAATGCTGCAGCAATGATCTGACACTCCCAGCAGATCACCCTATTAGCAGTGAGTGTGGAAACCATTTGTGCGACCATGCTGCCTCGCACCAGCTTGCCTTTTCCCGCTGGTGGGTATTGCCGTTGTTTGAGACGAAGCCACAATCCAAGCGCAAGGATGCATTCCTGAGTTTGTAGCCGCCACAGATTTAGCATTATATTGCGTTTGGACAATTAAAAATGTTGTCTTTTGTGCAACCAGTCTATCCAATCGGGAGTGCCCACTCCCTTGCACACGTGCACAAAAACTCTTTCAAGAAGGCGCATTGCTCTCCAAAGGTACATACTCCAAAAACTTCTCTTCTTGACAAGCTTTCTGACCACACTTTATAATCACGTTGTCTACAAGAGAAGTCATCAATCGGCCACGGTTCTTTTTGAGGCGTTTTTGGGTGGAAGGCGGGCTATCAGTTGAGATGCCCGAATTTCACGACGGGATTGGAACTAGTACACTTGATGTATGTCTTTGTCATCAATGGGCGAGTTTAAATTTCACACAATAACTGTTTGAACGCGGCAATTGTTCCTTGTCACACCGCAGATTTGTGTGCCAAATTGTTTTGCTCAAAGTTGTGCAGTTTGCAGAAGGTATGACAGAAGCACTCCAGGCCCATTGGAGGGGCAGATTTGAATTCAATGGCCTGTTGCGGTAGTTCAGTTACACCCGACATTGCCTCCAGTGCATAGATCTACTTCGTAATTTGATTACATGTAATTGCATTGCTCTCAAATCTGCACGTTTCAACTACCCATTTGTTGCTTTGGATTGACTGCCATCTCACAATATTGTTGTTATCTCCAACCGCGTGGCTAGCAACTTGCAGTTTTCTTGAGCAGGGCGGGCCTTGATCCTCATCAGTAGTTATTTTAACTACGAATATTGAAGACATTGGCGGAGGGGGCGGGACTGAGCTTAAGGTACTGGGCACTTCCTTCACCACAAAAGCAGCTTGGACACCATTGCTGCCATTTGTGATTTGTCATCCTGGACTGGATGTGCATTTCTAGAGTGGGGACTGGTCAATGGACCTTGCTGTGGTCAACGATGCAAGTTATTCCGGTCAGGTCGTCAGAACTCTGGTATGGTCTTCCTTCTGAATCCGCAGCGCTTCACATTGGACAGTCAAGCGCAGCCATCAGAACAGGGCGTCCGCAGTTGTCTCATGATCAGCAGTTATGTGCCTGTGTCCAGCAGTCATCAGCAAACCATTCGCACAAAACCCTCGGAAGGGGGTGTCAAGAAAAGCTGTCTGCACCTTTCCTTATTCACAGCCAGTCTGCCACCAATCTTCATACTCCTGTCGGGGATAACTTTGGCCACGTCCTTGCGTATGTGCTCCGACTGTCCTATAATTATTCTGGGGCTATCCGCCAGCCGCTTCAATGTGCGATTGTCCTATAGAGTTTCCTGGCAGCGGGAAACTGATCCCCACTTTCTTTATCAATTTAGAATATTAGTCTAAAGGCGAGGAGGCAGCCGTGAGCTCCGTATTTCTCCTGAGAAAGCTGTGCCCATTATTTGCTCAATGATCAGAACCCAAACGCTGCCGCAACCCAACCAACCTCCGAGCGGTCATCCATCGCATCTCTTTGGCCCATGTTTTGGCTTGGGGGCAACCATTGTCGGAAGTGCGCCCGCCAGCCTTGCTGCGGCCCAGCAAGTGTGAACCTTGCGGCCTCCCACTCTCTCGATTGCGAACCGCCGGTCTCGTTATGGAACTGTTCACTGCGAGGCTCTAGGCCGCGTCCCCGCATCCCGGGTCCCCCAAAGTCCCCAGAGCATGTCGCGTCCAAGTCGGTTGCCCCCAGGAAACATGCAGGATGCACATGCGGGTGTTTCCAGTCAACAATTTCGCCGCGCCCACTCCCCGGCACCCCGCAGTGGCCGAGGAGGGTGCTGTACAGCTGGCCTCCGATTGGCGCCCCCCAGCTGATCCGGGCCGTCCCCATACGAGGCCCGCCCAGTCCGTCTGGCGGCAGCTCCGCCCGGGCGCCCGAAAGTTCAACCTCCTGGGGGTGCGCCAGCCCCCACCCGGGCGGGAGCGGGTCAGTGAGGGCCCGGCCTGTCTGTTGGCGCAGGTTTGGGCCCGCCGCCCGCCTGCGCAGCCCTCCGACTTCGACTCCGCCGGCCGCCCCTCCCCTCCCGCCCCCTCCCCAACGCTGGGGCCGCGGCCGTCGCCGGCAGATCCCTGCGAGGCCCCGCATCCCCCCCGCCCCTGCCTGGGGGCCTGCCTGTGCTGCGGCCGATCCGATCTGGGCATGAACCTCAAGCGCCGGCCGTCGAGCGTCACGAGGGCGAAGAAGGCGTCGCCGGTCGGCGAGCGGGAGGAGGGCGTCCGACAGTACCGGGGCGGGTACCGGGGGGGCGCCTTCGGCGACGGAGTGGGAGGATTGGAGGAGGAGCGGGAGGCGATGGGCCGCAGGGTGAGGGCCGGCGGTCTCAAGGGTGGGGCGGAGGGGCGGGCAAAGGCGGGAAAGGTGCGCGGGATCGAGCCCGTTCATGCTAACGTTGCGTCGTCGGTGTCGGGCGGACAGGACATCGGGGGGGGCGGGAAGGCGGAGAAGGGGCTGCCCGGACACCGGCCGGGGGCCTCCAGCCTGGACCAGCCGCGCAGCGGGATACCGCTCCCCGGGGGGGGCAGGAAGCGCGGCAGCGGGGACAGCAGGGGGCAGGCGGGCGGGCCGCGCAGGGGTTCACAGGGCGACGGGCCGGGCCACAAGGCCGCCAACTCCAGCGGGGGGCTGCTGCGCCTGGAGGGGAGCCAGGGCTGGACGGCGTCGAGGTGGCAGGCGGGGGGAGGCGGCGTGCATGCAGGTATGGTATCGGGAGTCGTCGGCGCTTTGTCGGAAGCACTTTGAACTCTTGGAAACCCTTTGAGTGCACTTGTTCGATCGGGGAAGGCAAGCTTGGGGCGTCGTGTTGTTTGTGATCGTGCGCCGTTGCAATTCTATCGTCCTGTGTGAATGTGGAAATGATCGGGGTCGCCTGCACGTGTTGCTTGCTTGCAGAAGAGCGCGCTGGGTCAATAGACTATCAGAGACGGTCCAGCTTCATGATGCGGACGGGCACTGGCCCACCCCAACAAATGCAGGCGCCATCTGGTGGGAACTATGTTCCTGTGGCCTACAGGCCCCCCTGGTACAGGCAACCGTCAGACATGCCCAGTGCGGGTCCTGTGCAGGTGCGTGTGTTGAGTGTGTGTGTGTGTGTGTGTGGTGGTGGTGGTGGAGGGCAAGGGGGGTGGGGGGGTGGGGGGGGTAAGGCCCAATCTCTAAACTGTGATGTATATTGTTGAGGTCACAGAAACTGTTGCAGCTCTTGCCCATGAGAGCAGGTGTTAACCTGTAAGTGCCTTTGAATTACACCATGCGATGGTGGCACTGTGGAACACCCATTCCCAAAGCACAACATGTGCCAAGATCAATTGATGAGACATGCATCAAGCTTGGCCGAGTGTGCCTGCTGCTGTTGTCATCGCTCTTGCGCACATCCCAGAACAGTTTCATGTCTTTGCTTGCAAACATGCAAGGCTTGCATTTCCAGCTTTCATCTCAAGTGTTAGTGATGAAACTGATAGCATTTTATCCAAACTTTGCTGCGTGCTACGTGTAGCATGAGTTAGTCTGCTGCAGTTTTTGTGTTCTTGGCCAGATCCATCAGCAGCAAGGACTTGTTGCAAGAATGGTGTAGCACTTGCAGATATATGTAGAAATCTCCATTGTTTGTTTATGTGTGTTCGAGCAAGCTGGCAGCAAATTTCCTTTGGAGAAGTTACAGATTACCCGTTGCTGTTGTCAACGAAGCAGTTTACAATAGTGGAAGATGCTTGGCTCTATTCTGGGATAGCCAGAATGAATTGCACATGAAGGGTACAGATTCTGGACCTGCACTGGCAGATTGGTTGTGCTGCCCTTCAACCACTTGAATTATGGGGAAGGTTAGCATTCAGACAATTGGGCTGCCGTGGCTGACTTGTGGAGTTGTCTTATAGGTTAGTGCGGGCCACGAGCAACAAGGCGAGAGGCTGCCCACAGCAGCTGGTAGTGGTGGGGGCTTTGCCCAATATGGAGATGGGGATGTTTTGGCAGTGTCTGGTGACCAGCAGGGAAGTCGTCAGGAAGGAAGCCGCCAAGAAGGGAGCCGACAGGAATGGAGCCGGCAGGAAGGGAGCAGGCAGGAGGGCAGCCGACAAGGCAGCCTGAAGCTTAGGTTGAGTGCAAGAACGGATTCGGGGGAGCAGCACAGTGCACACAGGGCGCATACTGACTCTGGAGGGACAGCAACTGGGACCCCCACTCAGCCACAGTCAAGACATCATCCCCAAGGTCAGTCAACTTCCACGTTGTGACCATCTCAATCCCTGTAGTTCAGAAGTGGAGCAGTTATGGAGCGGCCATTTGTATAGCACCATCTCTGTAAGATAGCTGGGGCAGAGTTTAGGGATATGTGTGTTGCAAACTGATTTAGCAGCATGACATTCGCATCAGATGGTTGATGGATGTGCCTTCCTGGAGACCGCAACTTGCGGTCTGGCAGGAATGATAATTGCAGGTTGCCCACTATTTCTTTTTTCAACTGGTAACAAGGTACAGTTCTCCTGCTGTAGAAGCTTGCAGTACAAACACGAATAAACAGGATAGATCAACACCTCATCGCGATTTTCGCATCATGATGCGGTCCTTGAGCACTGTGTGTGCCCATTTCCACATCTGCAACCCTTTCCCTGAAAATCCTTGGCTGCATACCTAGGGCTGGGGAACTGGGCTTGATGGCAGTGAAAAGCCAGTTTAGCTCTTTGGCAGCTCAACCCTCGCTGGACTCTACTGGCTTGCCCCAGAAGCTGCTGCTGATGATCACTGCTCAGATATGTGTCCTAGCTGCCACCCCAAAGTTTGAGTCCAGTTTCACACCTCCTATCAACTGTTGGTAACTGTAATCTTGTTCAAAAGTTGGTGTGGATGAACACAATGATTGAACAGTGTGGCCAGTGTAGGGTGCACACTTAGCACACACACCAGAGTGCTCTGAAGGCATCGTCAAGACATAGCATTGTTGTTGAGGGAGGCAACAGGGCAGATGAAGGACAAGGGGACTAGACTTGGCAGTCAGTCTGCCTTCGCCGATAGTCAGCTGTCGACAAGCTGTCAAGTCGTGTCTATTTGTCCGACCCAACGGCAGAAGTATTTTTGCATAGTGAGAGCACACAGAAGGCTTCCAAGATTGCAATGGTGTTGGTGTGAGAGGTTGCAACTTGATAGATGCTGAATATTGTGGCTTTCAGTTATGGTGGTGGTCGTGGGGCTACGAGCTTAAAAGTCTTCTTGTCCAGAGTTTCAGTCTTGTCATGACAATGCCACTTGCATTGCAAAGCTGATATCGGGTTTCAATCTGTGGACGTTGCCCATGTTGTATTGTCAGCAAGCCATGTTTGCATGATGTGACTTTTGGTTTGTCGTTGTGTGTCCTTTGTGCTGGCTAGCAGATGTGCAGCTTCTGTGCTTAAGCCTCCCACACAATCTCATCCTTTGCCTTGCATTGTGTCCAGCTCCACCTGCCTCAACTCCAGGCAGCAACCAGGAGTGGATACAACTGGAACTGGACCGGCTGAAGAGCGAGTTTCAGTTCAAAAACCAGATTGCCAGCATGTTGCGCACCACTCTTGCAGACCTGAAGACACAAAGGGGAACTGGGCCCTATGGACAGGGAGGGCCGCTGCCAGGAATGCCGCTCAGTGGAGTCCCGATGCCACCCTCACAAGACCAACTGCAGGGCGGTCTTCCTGCGCCCAGCGGTGGCATAATGCACAGCCCCCACAGCGCCATTGCCGGCCAAGGAGGCGGGATGGCACAGGGGGGTGGCCAACTGCCTGGCTCAGCCACGGGCCATTTGGGGGGCCAAATTCCTGTGGGTGGAATGCCCCAGGGGGGCATGCAAGTTCCTGTGGGGAGTCCCCACGCAGGCATGATGGCTGGAGGGCTTACGCTGCCACACGGGGAAAGCCCGATGTCAGGTGTTCAAAATTCTGGAGTGTCAGGCCTGGGGATGCAGGCACCACCGCCATGGCAGGGAGTTGGGTATCCAGGTGGATATGGTGGTGGAATGGGGAGTGGCGACATGGGTGGCAGGTCAGGGCCGCACGCTCTCATGAGCCCAACGTCACCACTGCGGGAGCTCTCACTAACAAAGGCAGAGTTGGAAAAGAAAACCAGGCGGGTCAACGATTTGTTAGCTGAGCTTTCGCAGTATGATGCACATGTGAGGGTGCTGACGAAGGCACTGGAAGATGAACGACATGACAATGCGGAGTTGACACAAGAAAATGTGCTCCTTAGGAGTCAGGTGAGGACTGTTGACAACTGCAGGGCGGCTTGTGCTGTTGAAGAGGGTGGGAGCCCCTTGTGCATTATTAAGGAGAGGAGTGGTTCATGTGTTAGTGCACAAAGAGCAAAGTATGCATAGGACTGCAAAGCGTAGCACCGTATTGGCAAGGTGCACTGTCGTGTCGGCAAGGGCCGCCAGCACTGTGTCTTGTTGTTGCACCAGCACTGCACCAAGTGTCCTCATACATACCTTGATGGTCAGCTCCCTGCTTGGCCAGCCACATTCTGGTCCTAGCCTTTCAACTTGCTCCTGACAAAAGACTGTTCTTGTTTGTCACAGGTGGAGAGGCTTGCTACCGCCAGTGAGAAACTGCTGAGTGGCATGATGGCAATACAAGCAGCATGATACCCGCTAGTTTCAGTTGTTAGTGCAGCAATTGTGGGAAGCCAGGATGAGGCCTGTGGATAATAAGGTGCTTGTGGCGGATGTTCAGTGCATGATAGCAAGCCTGCCCCTTGAGCTGATTACCTGGGGAAAGTTGAATGTGCATGAAGCAGTCGGCATGGTGTGCACCTGGCCTGTTCGTCATTCAGGTGGTTCCGTGATGTTTGCATGGTTTACCTGTGATGGAAGTGCAGGGTGTGTGTTGGTCGTGTGTGCTGATTGGGTAGCTAACGTGCGCCTTACCGTTGACTTTCTGTTCATGGGAGTGTGGTCGGCTTGCTCTGCAGCGTATCTGCAGAAATAAAGGTGGTCTTGGAACATCTGTGCAGCCGTGCACACAGTTCGCATCCAAGGGAGGGCAATCCTGGAATTGGTTCAAATTTGTTATTTAATACGATGCAACAGTTGCTTGTTGGTAGATTATGTTTTGTCGGTGTGAGAAGATCTCGGACGCCGTGGGGATTGGGTGCCTGCAAGGACACCTGCCTGCGGGGCTTCTCCGCTTTCTGGTGTGGGAATTCTTGGCCCCTTGAGTGACGGTGCATGGTAGTGTGGAAGGGTGGGTGAGTTGTTGTGCCATTTCCTTTCGTTGATGGCGAAAGCAGCGTCACTTGGGGGCTTCGATGGACCGGAAATTGTGGCATCAGGAGTGCAGTTCATCGTTGGCGGCTTTGTAGTTTTAGGCAGGACTCACAGATTCAACATGGGTGCAAGACGGGAATGACCAAGAGTAGAGTGTGTGGTTGCTAATGAGCAATTTGGTCTGTCAACAACTGGCGGCGTTTGATACCTGTGGCCGGTCTTGTTCGCCAAATTTAAGTTTGGCAACTTCAAACACGGGTGCAAGCCAGTTACGGACAAAGAAGCTCGCTGGATATTCTTGTGACGCACAGAGGCAAGCGGCAGGAGTGGCAGCAGCAGGAGTAGCGGCAGCAGCAGCAGCAGTAGCAGCAGCAGCAGCAGCAGCAGCAGTAGCAGCAGCAGCAGCAATAGCTTTGCTGTTCATGATGGAGCAATCTGAGGCTAGTAGGACACATGTGTACATTTGGCCAACACAATTTGACAAATGGTGCAGTTCAGGGAGTCGCCTCTTTTGGCACGGGGCTTGAAGCACTATACACCCATGAGGATGCCTGGCACAAATTGCTCCCACAGTACTCCATCAAGCCGGGTTCGAGTGTGGCGATTTTACCAGTGTGGGGGAGCTGCCTTTGTGGCACTTTGCCTGGGCGCCACAGCACATGCTTTGCCACAGGGAGCATCGGTCCCAAACACCGTGCACTGGCGACCGTCCATCCACACGTCTTGCCCATAGCTTGGGACCGCCGTTTCATGGGCAAACGACGGCGACAGCGTGACAGAGCGCAGCCTATGGTTTCCAGCTGGGCCCCAGGCGTGCTGCGTTGTGCTTTTTGCAACGCACGCAGTCCTCTGCAGCCTCCTCTGCTTCTACCCATCCCCACACCCACACCCAACCCCGTCGCCTACCCCCACCGCACCACCACCACCACGTACGTCGCTGATGCGCGAGAAACATTCGACAGGTTCTAGCCAGGTGCTGCCCCCTATGCCTACGGAAAAAACGTTCATTTTCTACGCCCACGAGCACCAGGTGGCCAGCGTGTTCTCTTCTCTGCAAGCAACAGTGTTCGATTCGTCATTCCTCGTGCATCGACCCTCTGTCGTTCACCCCCACGGCCTGGGGAAACAAAATCCTGAAATCAGGCGCGCCCTGCATGCATCGTGTCTGCTGCCGCATCTGGTGCGTCATACTCTACGCTGTGTCAATGTCTGAGTCCCAGCCACCAAGCCTCTCTGAGGGCTGCCCATTGCAAAATAGGCAAAACTCATTGCCCAGCTTGTTCCGATGCTCAGGGCGGAATTTGGCAGGCCTCAAGCCCCACCCTTCGTATGCAATAGTCTTTTGCGACATGCCTGCGGCACAGTGTTCGAATTCAGCTGACTCCTCAATGAGCACCCAAACCGCAACCACAAAGAGCGCCTGGATGGCGTGGCTGTCATGCTACTGCAGTACTGAGCCCCAACACTCCCCTCCTGACGCCACATGATGGTTCCATCCCTGGTGCATGACAGTACGTCTGCACAGCTATTGATATCATCAACAGCACTGTCAGCTCGGCCGCATTTCGTCAGAACGCCATGGCATATTGAAGGGCTTTCCATTATTGTTCTTGCCTGCACAACAACTGACGTTTGGCGGTTTCAACGCATGGGGAATGCAGAAGTCGGTTCTCATCTTGGTTGATTGTGAGTTTGCTACCACAGCGCCTGGGTGACAGTTCCCTGTCAGCCCTGCCTTGCCCCCAAACGCATCAGAGTGACGCCCGCCAAGCCAATTTGGCTTCCCATTGGTTCCAAATTGTGAGGACTTCACCATTTCTGTTCGCGGGTGGATATGTGGCACTGATCAAAGGAACAGTGCAGGTTGCGCCATATACACACACTTTGATATCCCTGCAGTACTATTGGTGATGGCTACTTATGTCGGCAAATCCTGTGGGTTCAAACATTACCAAGCTCAATCCTTCGCAGATGTGTGATTCTGGCTGCTGTAACTCGTGAACAAACAACAGCCACCTGCAAGGTACTGATTGGCACACTCCCCATCCAAAGTGACTATAGCCCTGTTTGCACCCCAACAACGGCGTCCTCCACAAAAATACTGATTGTCATAACCACCCTTCACACATTGTGCATCGGCGCCGTTGCTATTCCTGCCGATGGACGCGGCACACTACCAACCTGTCAACAAGAAAATCTTGATCTTGGTGCTTTCTCTAGCCAGAGCCATGGTTGTGGTCATTGTCTTCTCCAGGCACTCTTTACTCTTTTCATGCATGAAAAGAACACAGTTAGATGATGTTCTGGTGCACACTTCTGCCTTGCCAGTGGCTCTGCACTTCTATTGAACAGTCAGAGGAGACAATGAATGGTCGTTCTCAGCTCCTGGCCGCACAGTCACTCAGATCTGAACGCATTGTTAGCCTCAGCAGTTTGGCTGCCTATCTGTACTGTCCAAAGGCGTACTGCAGAATCAATGATGCTGGCATGAATCGGATTCTCAACTACATAGTCTCCCCTCTCTCAATGTGAAAACTGCCAGAAAGCTCTGCATTTGAGCCACTCACAAGGTAGGGAGGGTCAGCCAGGACGACGTCAAAAGCGCCTTTTAGCTCGTCAGGCAATGCCAATGGTTTGTTGTAGTCGTAATGCACAAAGTTGCCAAAAACCTCAAATCGTGTGTCGTACTCCAGAAGGTGACATTGGACCTCTGGAAAACTTTGTAGCAGTGATCTGAAGAGGGAAGGACAGGATATGCACGCCACACGACCATCAGTGCCCACAATGTTGGCCACCTCCTCAGCAACTGCCATTGCAGTTTCTTCAGTGTACCAAAACTGCAACACGCAAATCAACAATGGTGCTCACTCCCAAAACTTGTGTTCTCTATTTCCACAGTTTAGCATGCCATTGTCCTTTGTCCATTGTTTCCCTATCATCTTCTGAATTTGTTGGAACTTGTCACACAACCCCGTCCTGGACTGAGTGTGCCCAATGTATGATAGTAGAGTGAGAAGCCATAGCCATTAACCCTCACAACTCCAGAATTGGCATTTCAGAAGATCCTAAAACTTAAAATGTGGTAAGCCACCCAAAGTGCTAATGTGCAGCTTGGGCCCATTTTCAACAATTTATCACAACAAGCAAGCATGCAAACATGCCCCTTCAGATGAACTCGCAGGGCTTGATAAATAGCCCATCAATGTTCACTACTGATACAAACTCCTGAATATTATGCCATCCACTGCGTTCATTGCCCCCGTTTATGGTTTGGAGGTGCCTGGATTTATTCGCTTGTGCGATCTCGGTGTCTGAACCAATGCGTATGCGCCAGTTACGGCTTTCGATCGCGGGAGGCAAGGGAGTAGCGAATCCTACGGGTGACAAGACAGAAAATCCAGAAATGTGCGGACAGTGGCAGCCAACACGAAAGCGTGCGAGCAAGCCTATCTCATGACCAGGCTAAACGGCAACGACATTGACCCTGCCACTGTCCGCAATCGAGGCGTGCGCAGCGGGGCTGCCACTCACTGCAACGGCCGTGACAAAGGGCCCCGGCGTAGATGCAGAAGGCGGCATTCCCACCTGCGAAAGTCCCCAGTCCTCTGCGAAAGGATCAGCGTCTGTCAGGGCGTCTTCAAGCTGCCCATTGAGAAAGTCGCCAAGGGCGAGAAGCGTCGATCCCGACAGGGCGGGAACTTCGTCGTCCGCTGCGTCCATGGTTGTAGAAGCCTCTGCCACTGTGTGTCCCTCTTGCGCACGCAGCACAGTGCTCCAATTCGCCGGGTTTGTCCCAGTCTAGTCTAAGTTTGTGGTTTTGTTTGGCGCTGGCTGGCCTGGCAGCCATGCAGCTGCGACTGATTTGTCAGCTGCTGATGTGGGGTGCTGATGTGGGCTCATTTGGATGTTTCAAGCAATGACAGAATAATTGGACGCTGGATAATCCAGCGTCACTATCATAGTGGCACCCGCTTCATCGACCGTGCCGCTTGAGACTCGCGAGGCGTCGCAGGAAGCAGTTTTTGCCTGTTTCTCGGATATAGATGTTTGCATATGCATTTTTTATGTGCACGCATCCATGCATGACAATATAAATGCACCACAGCATTCCTGCGTCTTGAAAATTTCTGTTCCATGAACGCTTCACCTCACAAAATGCGCCATCCGTATTCTAAGACTGGTCTCCGGCTTTGTTGGCATCCATCCCACTCTGTGCGCACAACCTGAAACAGCTCACTGACGTACACTCCGAGGCGACAACAAATTCCATTGAAGTCTCCAGCCTCTGAGCCCATTGAGGCAACCATCAATGCGCGTGAATGGCGGTCGCCTTTTCTTGATGTTTTGCTTGTGGTTTCCAGTGCACATAAATGGGGTTCGGTATCCAAACGCCAATGCGCTATGAGGGTGCGAGGCAAATTGAATGTGTAAAAGTTCAACACCAAGACAGCTGCAGCAACATGTCGGACAAACAGTTGTCTATGTACTGGCTGGCCAAGACAATCTGTGACATGGTCGAGATGGCGTTAGGACGGAACCCCAAAGATCAGATTCATTTTCGCTGAAGGTGGTGCTGAGTGCTGGTGCTGTCTGACGGCGAATGTGAGGCAAAAGAGTGAACTGTGAGTTCAAATCATAGCTCTGAGTGTGAAATTTGGTGAACAAAAAAGTGGAGTACTCCAGCATTTAACAAAGTCCCGAGGCTGCTTGGTTATCTTTTTTCTGTAACTGAGTTGCTGCAACTCCTTCGGGCTGCTCCTGCGTGCGTTGGACCGTGTCTGTCCTTCTCTTGCTGTTGGTAATTGTTGTGCGCAGTCAAGTTCGACAGTGACATCTCAAAGTGGGATGTCTAGGAAATTATCTATGGGCTGAGGCCACTCAGACTTCCGCGGTTTGGCAGCTTCACTCGTTGTGGTCGTGAATGCAAAGTGTTGACAGAATCTGGCCAAGAGGTGGGTTGCTTATTGTATGGCAATCTCCTATTGCTGAGACGAAATTTGGGGTTTTGACCCATTGACACAAATAAATGAGTATACAAGGAGCTATAAGAAGAAGTGAACAAGCAAATAAATAACAGAAGACAATGTAAACAAAAATATGAATAAATAAATCAAACAATTGCTTGATTCCGGAGCACCTTCTCTCGATTCCTGTTGCCTTGAAACATTCTCTAGATTCTGGCCATTTTGATGTCCGTCGGGTCTTGCGCCCTTGCTGAGAGGCAAAAGGGCTGCAAGACGCGGCACAGGCAGCAACAAAACATGCGCTCGGGGGCTGTCGGAGCGAAGCACCTAACCTAGAAACGACCCCCGGCAGCCGCGGAACTTTGGGCCCCGGGTCTTCCCGCTTCCACTTCGCTTCATTCGGTCTCGCCTGCGACACCTTTGCCCCACTGGCCAAGCGCAGTGCGGCGCCATGGTCGCCGACCCGTCGACCGCGCAGGTTGGCTCGTCGCCCTTCACCACCGTCAGGGAGGGCTACGTGTGGCGGGGCAGCGACGTGGTCGACAACATCGTGAACAAGCGCTACGCGAAACTCCTCTCCGATGTCCTGGTCACTTTCCGCAGGGAGACGGACACCGAGCCCACCAAGGCGTGGCCGCTGTATCGGGCCTGCGACCTGACGTCCATCGAGAAGAGGGAGCTCATGTTCTGCAAGAAGGGGTACAACAACGTGGTGGCGTGGCTCGGCGGCAAGTTCGAGAGGATGGACGGGGTGAGCGGGCTGACGCACATTTTGGCCAGTCCCTCGCGGTCAGGAGAGCGCCCGGTTTTTAATTCCCTTTGCGCTTTCGGGCCCGCAGTTTCCGCTCGCGACTCCGTGTGTCTGCGACGCAGTTCGCGTTCACCGTGACGTGGCTGAAGCCGACGATGATGAAGGACACGAAATTGCTGCTGGGGTTCGACAACGAGCGCGACGCGATCGCCTGGCACGCGGCGCTCACCAGCGTCGTGGAGAGGCTGGGTCCGGAGGTCGCGGGTCTGCCGGAGCAGGAGGCGGTCGCCTGGAGGACCACGGCGCCGGAGGAGGACCTCGCGGTGCACCAGCCAAGGCGACACGCGCCGCGAGAGGACTCCGTCAAGGTGAAGGTTGCGCCAAATCCAGGGTGCCGCAGGAGGAAAAACTCACGGGGGGCTGCACCGCATTGCGGAGGGGATGGTAGCCTTGGTGTTGTGTCAGGAGGCGCGCATGTGAAGCAGATGCAACTTGGGGGGTTCCAGCTCACATTGGGAGCAAATGGTGGCGGAAGTGACAGCTGTGGTGCCTGAGGTGTGGGCGGCCCCCGTAGATGTCTTTCTTGTCTGTGAAGCCGTTTCTGTGGCTAGTCTTTGACGACAGTTCTACAGCTTTCATGAATTGTGGGCCCAATGCCAGATGCCTCACAACCATTAGGGTGTGCACTTGCCAAGAGCACTGTGGATTGGGCGAAGCTGAGCTTCAAGGCCCTGTGGATGGCCCTAAGTATTGTGCGTTTTCCCGCATTTAGGGACTTTATGAGCAAGTAGAAGTCGGCACGGCAACAGAAGAACTTGAAGGGTTTGATTCGGTGGGCAGCATAGATACCTGTGAGCCAGCGGTGTTTCCATCAGGTGACCTACACAGTTTGCCCTGTGGACGTGGTATGTGTGTGCTTGCAAATTTCCACAACGCTGTTGCCCTGTTTATTGCAATTCGAAAATGCTGAAGTCAGTCCCAGCTTTGTTGCTGGTGGTGGCAAGTAGCATGGATGGGTTGCAAGATGCAGTGCATGTTCTATACTTTCTTCATGGTGGGCTTTGCACACTGGATATGGGCCACACATCCAGATATCTCTGGTGGGCTTGCTTCAAAGTTTGAGCAGAGAATTCTTCAGTGTCAGATCTACCTGCTCCAGGTTTGGAACATGCAAATATCACCCAAATCTCTGGAATCACAGTTGCTATGCCCTTTGGCTTTGTGTACTTCCTGCTGTGAGCAGTCATGCGGTGTCTATGTGAGTGAGCATCCCTCCTTCTTTACTGCATTTTGTGTTACACATGGAACCAGGAAGTTGGAGTGCCCTCAAATTTTCGAATGGGACATCTGTCTTCCATGAAGATGATGAAACAGGAGGGGCATACATGGTGTCCTGTGTTGTGCGTGCCCCACCCAAAGCCTGCCTGGAGGCTTTGGGATCTGGCAGTTTCCTCATCTCAGGCTCTGATAGAGAGGTGCTGAAGAGCGATGGTGACTTGGAGGTATGTAAGTCCTCAGTTGTTGCATTTGTCAGAACAAGACAAATCACTTCTGTGTTGCTCATTACTTAATGTGGTGCACCATCAACATCCCAACTGTTTGCAGTACTTTGGACTATGCCACTATTCAGATGTCCAGGACTGAGTGCAGTGGCATAAGCAAAATGCAAGCACATTGGAGACCTTCAGTTGCTGGGGGTTGGCTTATGATCAGTATGAACCACAAGCAAATTCAAGATCCTTTTATCATTGCAAGTTGCCACCAATGGGACCAATTGCATTCAGTAGCAGAAATTGGTAACAGCTCATCTGCATACATTCTGTATTTTTCATGGTGTCCAGGCTTGCATGGGTCTTGAATGGTTTCATATTTTGAAAAAGGTGGTGCATCTGGGCGCAATCCTGTCTGCAAAAGGGATGTTGAGAGTGCAGCTGCTGCCAGTGCCCCATGTCTTGGCAGGTTGGCACTCTAGCTGCCTCTGCTCTGGTGAGCTTGCAATTCTGTATACAGCAAGCATGAACTTGTGGATGCTCTCATCAGCTGGTTGGCGGTGGGTGGGAAGGGCAGCTTAGAGTATTCTCTGCATAGTCAGCACAGTAGACATTGCAGAAAATGCCTTCGCACAAGAATATGTATATTCTTCAAGGCCAGGTAGACAACCAACAGTTCTGAACAAGAGATCTTACTGGCTGCAAATGCATTAGATGAAGTTAATGCCTGTTTCCAGATTACCAGTTTATCAGCGGAGGGAGCGCGAAGGATGCGCGCAATGTTCGATGCGATTGCACGAATATCCTGGGTGCCCAGTTCTGATGGGTCTGTGTGGAATAGGTGTTTCGCCTCAAGATACATCCCTCGGGCTTTGCTTCTTGGTTTCTTGCAACTCGGGAGCTGACAATTGAGCGCACCTGGCGTGAAGAAGAAGATGGAACATTTGTTGTTCTGTTCAAGACCACAGAAGACTTTGCAAATGAGGCAGAAAGTAGTCAGATAGGCATCTATGACTGGTGGTCCAAACCTGTCAAGGCTCACGTAAGGCTTACTCCCTGTCTGGGCTGCTGTATTCGCTTCAGAATTGATGACATCGGTGTGCAGGCATTTCGATTTCCTGCAGGCTCCTCAGGGTAGCTGCAGTTGTCTTGTTGTTGCCACTGCTGAATACAAGTGAATTCAAATACTTTCTCTGTCCCAGAACAGTTGTCCTCTCTAGAATCGCTAAATCTCTAAATAGATGATATTAAATGTTCAACAAACATCAGAATCGGAAAGACAAGGTGCTGAAGCCCAGTGGCAGCTGAAAATACAAAAGAAAATCTCTTCCTAACCCTCTTCTACGTACATCAGCCAAGAGGGCATTCATGTGGATTAAAAGTCAACGATCAGATGACAGTCGCCCATCAAGCCTTTAGTTGCCTGTTCTGACGATCCCTGCCTCCTTAGAGTGAGTGCACAAGGGACCTTCTGACAATGTGGCATTGGGAGTTCTCAAAGTGTAGCGTTTGTGTGCTGGCTGGAAGAGACACCTAACCATAGCGATTTCTTCCAACCAAAGAATTTAAAGCATCTCAAAGATGCCAGCCAAGCAGAGCCCAGCCTTTGGACACCATCTTCTACACTCACAACTATGAATGAAAACAAGTTGTCATGACCATCTGATCCATGAGGTTTTAGCACAACAACAGTGGTGTAAGATCATAGAGGACATTTGTTGTGAGACGGAGGAAGTACTAATGGACCTCACAGTTGCAATTGTTCCAAATGCGATTGAGGTTACCCCGTTGATGTCTTGACCACTGGTGTGCTCTTTGTATCCAGATTCCGGCAGCAGGGTTTACCATAAGTCCGCTGCGCGATGAGTTTCTGAGTGGCTCAGGGCCATCACCTGAGTCACTGGTAACATTGGTGCTGAAGATTGATCTGGGTGGAGTCTGTCATGCAGCAAGCCTCTTGAAACCATTGGTAGATATGTTTGGCATCACACAAAGATGGGTGGAGCAGCTTCTGATGACTGTTGTTGTGCTACGGGATTCTGTGGAGCAGAGCAAGTTTACTGTGAGTTGTCAACCCTTGTCATCCATTCATGCCCTGTATGCAGACGCACTGCTTTCGTTTTATGTGTGATTATTGTTGGGAAGGGCCATATGTACGTGAGTTCTTTGCTGTCTGTTATCAAATTGCTCAGATGTGCATATCTTGGTTTAGCTTTTACATAGTTGCATACAATACTGATCATGATAACACAACAACCAAAGTCCTTTGACCAGAATAATGATATGGGGCATAGGTCCCAGGTGCATGCATTTGTTCATTTCCACAGTGCCTGTTCATCTGCACATCCTGTCAGCCCTAAGAACTGCCTGCCACAAGGATCCCAAAAGGAAAAGAGAAGAAAAGATGAGGAATGGTCTCAGTCACCAATCTGGACTGAAGAATCAGCAGTGTCCTGATTGCTGATTCCCAAAGTAAAACCAGATTGAAGCCAATTATTGTAGGGAACTGATCCAATATCAATGCAAAAGTGAAACCAAGGCGTGACTGCACCCAGATGCATGATTTTGGTCGAGTAAAACTTTTCATCCCAAAAGGCCCCAAGTTGCAGTGCATGGAGATCCAAAAGTGCAAAGAGAACAATGGCTGCCTTGAAGGGGTGTCGCCTCAGTATGCTGTGGAATGGATGATTGATAAGGCACATGATTTGGATTAAGCCAATATCCCACAAATAGTTAAATAGTTGTCTCGACTCCTCGTAAACTGATACTCAGTGCATAGGCAACAAATGGAATACCAGGGGTACGAGATGTTTACCAGAAATGTGACTGAATACTGCAGATTTCTGTTTGAGTTGTGGCTATTGTCGTAACCTGAAATCCAGCCCCCAGTATCCAACATGGAATCCAACAGCAGCTTCTAGAATCTGACAATTGCCCACGCCCACACAGTGTTAGTGCTTATTTTGCTGACTCAAGATATCGCTATCCAGGAATTGTTTTTATCTCATTCTGATTGTGTTGCCACCTTCTGTATTGTCATAACTACCCAAAAAGGCAAACGGCAGCGTCCTGTCCGCAAGCTGGGCAGCATCTTCATGACAGGTCTGATTCTGTCGGATTGCAGGCTTCTGGCTATTGTCATGGACGGGCTTCTTCATTGCAGTCTGCTGCTGGCCAGTACTGATTCATTCACAAGAGAAGTCGCCATTTGCAAAGCCATGTTCCAAATATCGCCTTACTGTGCAGTGAGAGTGCCAAGGTCCACTGTCGAAATCTCGATGGTGTTGCATCATGCATGAGGTTGCATGTGTTGCTGCGCTCACAGGTGTCTTTGTCAGCCTCGAGTTCAACACGTTGGGGACCCAAACTGTCACGGTCGACAACAGGGCTGCTTGGCTGGGGGAGTGAGCACAAGAAAGAGGAAGGGGAGACTCTGGTGGGAAATGATTCTGCCACAGACACAGCGCCGATCGATAATTTCAAGCCCTCAGATGGAGTGCTGAGTAGGACATATTGGTCCAATCCTGGACCGTCGACCTTCCGTGTTCGTGGGCCTGACTACCTCCAGGACAGAAAAAAGATTCCTGCAGGAGATCCAAAGTTCGAGCTGGATTGGGTGTATTTGGTGAAGCTCGACAAACCAACCAAGGACATTGCGAGGTTCCTGCCAGCTGCGAGGTGAC